CATCAAATATACATAAGCGGGAAAATTTTATCTTCTGTTCCCAGGTTGTCTGTCCGAACCCATTCTCTCTCGATTTGATATATTGTGTGTAGTTCGTGACACTGTGGACCCCATACAAGATGAGCACCTCGCACGTTTTGTTGTTGGTTCCCACATTCGCCACCACCCTGGAGCTACTGCTGCTGATGCTGCTACTGCCAACCCTGTGGTAATTATCACCTTGTCAGGTAACTGAACACTTGCAACTATTGATATTTATTGTGGCAACTTTTCACACTCCAGGAACTTTGTTAAGCTGTCATAAATATTACAAACTTTTCACCTCACGTGAAATCTGTACAGGAGGACCCAGGTTGCCAGCTTGTGTGGCTCTTAGGTTGTCGAATGTGTGGCAATCTTGTACTCTGTATAGTTTAGTTATAATCTTATACTCTGTATGTATAGTTTAATGTATGAATCAAACTTGAAAAACAAGTAATATGGGTATTGAATGTCACCATTAATGTGTGCACTTCTGGGAAATTGTCTAGACATTGCATGAGTGATGGTGAATTTGTTTCATTTATGACTCCTGAAATCATGACACAATTGCAAACAAACCACGGTATGGTCGGGGATTGAACTCGTGGTGAGAGAGTCATGAAACTTCAGACTGATGCGTTTGCCACTGGGCCAGTGGCTAAGGTGTCGGTCTGGAATTTTGTGACTCGCTCGCCGTGAGTTCATCCCTGTCTGTATCGTGGTTTGTTTCCTTTATTTTGGGTCACCTTACCTACAAGAGAGACAGCTGAGGTTATGAATATGCAATTTAAATTTTGGTTAACTCATTGAGGGTCCGTGCCGTAGATCTACAGCTTTTCGTTGAGGGTCCAAACCGTAGATCTACGTCATGAGCTCAGCTCACTTTGATAAGCTGTGAGCAGTAAATTTTGGCCTTCATATGAGAGAATACATCTATGGGGTATGTGTGCACCACATAAAATGAATCCTACAGCACATAGTGCATAATGAGAAAAAACTGAGACCATAATTTTCTATTAAAACAGCGACTTTGCAGTGTTTTTTCGTATGTTTTTTATAGTTGTATTTGTGATTTCTTGGTCATATTTGATAGAATGGAAGACATATTGCAGAAATAGAGATGATTTTGATTGGTTTCTAGTACTGGAAATGGCTTGAAACTGAGCTCAAAGTAGCAGAAATGTTAAATTTTTGCCATGTTAAAGAGTAAACAAATGACCTCACACATCTAATACACGCCTGCTGGTGGGTCTGATATACGTTCACAAATGTGCTGATATTATTTATACAATTTTTACAATATTGCATAACAGTAAATCTTCTATTTTTTGGTTTGAATAAAAATTCATTATGTGAATAAAAAATTAAAATGGAATTCATTAGTAAAACCTGAAAACATAACTAATGAACAGAGGAAATGTTAGTTTAGTGCCAGGAATGCCCGCATTGTTTATTCTGGACCCTATTTTGAAATTAGATTATTTTGAACTTTGCGTGAAATTGGCCAAATTACCAATTTCCAATCCCTTTATTTTGTAGTTGAAACAGTTGACTTGGTGATTTTTTTTTACACAGGGTTTGACAATGTTAAGGATCCCTAGCTTTATTGACAGCTATTTACAGGTTAAGGATTCCTAACTTATTGGCAAGCTAAGAGCTGTTACCTACATCAGCTCATTTGAAAGCATTTTTATTGTTATGAGACATACAAGTAGGGAACAGGATGAAGTTGGAGCCATCTGTGGGCCAGCATTTTCATTTGATCAACTGACTTTATCTCGTTGACATCATTATGCTGTACAATGTTTTCCATACTGAGTCATCCTGGGTATGTATGATCTCAGATGGAGTGATGTTCTGGAGAAGGGTACATACAGCCAGAGTGAAGTTGCTGCTTTCTGCCCGTCTTGTGGCTCAATAGATAGAATAGAAGTAATACTAGTGAAATAGCTAAGAGTTTGGTCGACTGGAATAATGTAATTGGCCTAAAATGGGAATCAAAGTCTGCAAAATCGCCGATGTGTAAATATCGCTGACGGCAAAATTCGCGAGAGCATAATTTTGTCAATTTTCTGTCAAATTTCGTACTTTTTTGTTTATTGCCTTCAGAAAAAGATTCTCTACCATTTCATAAGAAAAAATAACAAAATTATTTTTTGAAAATTATTGGACACTGGTGTATTCTTTGAAATTTGGCCTCTGGACCCTAAAAGGGTTAATACTGTTAATTTTTTTTTTTTTAGGATGGTTGTATGGTTGGAGGATCAGAACTTTCTGGTGTAGAGAAGATCCCACAAGAATTGTTGAAGAAATACATCATATATGGCCGGGAGAAAGTGCGACCTAAGTTGCATCAGATGGACCAAGACAAAGTTGCTAAGATGTACTCTGAGCTGAGAAGAGAATCCATGGCCACAGGTACAGTCCAGGGCAACCAGTTAGCAGTGTTGAAGCCTGAAGAAGAGTACTGTTCTTGTACTCTTGAAGGATGGGTGGAAATGTTGGTCTGGAGGAGGGAAGTACAATGCCTGTGTTCTTGAAGGTTGGGTGAGGATTGTAGTCCTAGAGGTGGGAAGTATTGTGACTGTACTCTTGAAGGATGGGTAGGGATTTTAATCCTGGAGAGGGTAAGTACTGTGCCTGTACTCTGGAAGGATGGGTGGGGATGTTAGTCCTGGAGAGGGTAAGTACTGTGCCTGTACTCTGGAAGGATGGGTGGGGATGTTAGTCCTGGAGCTGAGTTAGTCCTAGTATTGAGCTTTTTACTTTGCTAATGCATGATTTTGCTCTGTTAACTACTATTTGTATTCTGTTTTTTCAGAAAATTGAAAATCTATTATTTGCCTACTTTACCATTTACATTGGACCCTCAGCTAACAATATTAATCCATTCCAGAGAGCTCATTGTTAGACGAAATTATCGTTAGCCAAATTAATTTTCCCATACGAAATAATGGAAATTTAATTAATCCGTTCCAGACAGCCAAAAGTATTAAAAAAAAGAAAAATTTCATGAAATAAATATACATTTCCCTACAAAGAAAACAATGAGACATCCACAATAACTATATAAATAATTGTTTAAAATGACAGTAACCTTTATTGAAGAGTATTGATGAGTGATGAGACAATGTTTTTCTTGAACACTCTGGGATTTTCAGAGTGATACTTGAGAAAAGACTTCACTGAATTGTCTGAAGGTGCCTGTTCCCTTCCTGGATTTCCGGGAAATGGGTGGAGTGCCCTTATGGTAATGGGTATACCTGTAGGTTCTGGGAGGTGGCGGCCGAATGAGGTATACCTTTGATGTACCTTTGAAGAGTTTCGAGAGTTTATCTACTCTAAACCTGGCCATGGGGCCCGGCTCATCTCATGCTTGCCTGGTCAACCAGGCTGTTTCTGCTGGAGGCCTGCTGCCCCATATATCCATCACAGCCTGGTTGATCTGGCACCTGGTGGCAATAGTTGTCCAGTTTCCTCTTGTAGGCTTCTACACTGGTTCCAGCCATGTTTCTGATATCTTCTGGTAAGATGTTGAATAGTCTAGGACCCCGGATGTTGATACAGTGTTCCCTTATTGTCCCCACAGCACCCCTGCTCCTCACTGGGATTATTTTACACTTTCTCCCATATCTCTCACTCCAGTATGTTATGACAGTGTGCAGATTTGGAACCAAGCCCTAGAGTACCTTCCAGGTGTATATTATCATGTGCCTCTCTCTCCTCCGCTCCAATGAATACATGTTCAAGACTTGCAGGCGTTCCCATTAGTTTAGATGCTTTACAGGCTCAGTGTGAGCTGTAAATGATCTCTGTATTTGTTGCGGGTCGGATATTTCTTCTGCTTTGTACAGGGCCATTAGCACTGAGCAATATTCTAAATGAGGGAGCACTAGTGATTTGAAGAGTGTCACCATCGGCATTATTTCCCTTGTTTTGAAAGTAATCAATACCCACCCTGTCATCTTCCTGGCTGGCATGATCTTTGTCTTGTTGTGGTCTTTAAAAGAAAGGCCCGCTGACATAATTATTCGTTGGTCTTTTACATGTTCCTTACGTTTTATTTGGTGTCCCTCTTGAGTTTTGTATATAGTGCTTCTTTTGAGTTCTTCATTCTTCCATATCTAAGCAGCTGGAACTTATCGCCATTGAACGTCATGTTGTTCTCCACTGCCCACTGGAAAATCCTGTTTGTCTTTCTGTACTTTTTCAGTGTCCTCTACCTTACTGACTTTCATGCTTATTTTAGTGTCATCTGCAAATGATGATACAAAAGTGTGCTGGGTGTTTTTGTCTGTCTGCTATGAGGATGAGGAACAGCAGAGGTGCCAGGACAGTGCCTTGGGGCACTGAGCTTTTGACCTCGCTGATGCTGGATCTTGCCCTGTTCACTACTACTTTTTGTGTTCTGTGTGTTAGGAAACCGAAAATCCATCTGCCTACCTTCCCGGTAATGCCCATGGCCTTCATTTTGTGCACTATCACTCCATGATCACATTTGTCAAATGCCTTTGCAAAATCAGTGTAAATCACATCTGCGTTTTGGTCGTCTTCCAGTGCCTCCGTAATTCTGTCATAATGGTTCAGCAGCTGTGACAGACATGATTGTCCTGCTCTAAAACCATGCTGGTTCGGGTTAAGTTGGTTGTGCTGGTCCATGAAAATTGTAATCTGCCGTCTCATCACTCTTTCGAAGATTTTTACAATGTGAGAGGTTATGGCTACTGGTCTATAATTTTTAACTAGTGCTCTACTACCTCCCTTACGCAAAGGAGCTATGTCATCACTCTTTAAGGCCTTGGGTATTTTACCTAGCTCTAAGCTCTTCCTCCAAAGAATACTAAGGGCTCGTGCTAGTGGTACTTTGCACTTCTTTATAAATAGAGCATTCCATGAATCTGGTCCCGGTGCGGAGTGAGTGGGCACGTTTTCCATTTCTTTTTCGAAAACTATGGGATTTGTTCTGATGTCAGTTAGTTGGTCTGTGCGGCCTTCTGGAGTGAAAAATATTTCTGCATTTTCTACCTTGCTGTCATTTAGTGGGTTGCTGAACACCGACTCATACTGTTCTTTTAGGATTTCACTCATTTCCTGTTCCTCGTCAGTATACGAGTCTCCTCTCAGTAGTGGCCCAATTCTACAGGTAGTTTTTAGCTTGGATTTTGCATAGGAATAGAAATATTTTGGGTTTCTTGCAATATCCTGTATGGCCCTTTGTTCCCTTTGTACTTCTTCTGTGAGGTATGACATACTAAGTTTTTGCTCTAATTCAGTGATCTCTCTGCAAAGTCTATCTTTCCTCTCTTGTAGCATATTTGTGTTTTTAAGCAATTCAGTAACCCGTTTTCTTCTTCTGTACCATCTCCTACGCTCTCTCTATATCGAATCTTCTTCTGGGTTTCCTCAATGGTACGTGTTTCATATATACTTTGTATGCTTCTGTATTCAGCTTCTCTAGGCACTGGTGGGGATTTAGGATGCTCATGTCTGATTCCCAGAGTATGTCTGATAGCTCTTGGTTTATTTTTTCTCAGTTCTATGGTTGTTAAAATTAAACTTACTGAACATCCCGTCTCTAACTTTAGTGACACAGTTTCCTACCCCTGAATTAATACTAGTTTGAACCTCTATGATGTTGTGATCAGTGTATATAGATTTTGTAACTGTTATATGTCTGATCAGTTTGATTTGTGGCGGGTTTCCGACTGCCCTTTCTTTTGTCTGCTGAGGTAGCTCGGTAGATGTTAGGCTGCTATCCCGGAGCACTGTGTGCGATTTGGAAAAAGATGCGGAAATTGTTTGGTAAGTACACTCCGGACCCAGCTTCCATTTTGTGGGTTGCTGGAGTTGATGTCGCAGAACCTCTAGAAGTTGCCACAGAAATCGGGAACTGTTTTGTCCGTATCTCCCGAGGGCTTCACTTCTGTCCCTCATTTCTTGCATCTAAACCTAACAAAGAGCAATTGCCCTTAGATTTCTCCTCCAATGGATTGGAGCCATATAATGTTTCTTTTACTCTTCGAGAATTGGAGTCCACACTTTCCATTTGCCGGCCGTTGGCAATGGGACCTGATGTCCACATCAGTATGCTACATCATCTCCATTCTATGGCCTTTCTCGTTCTTTTACATCTTTTCAATCTTATTTGTGAGTGAGGGGTTCTCCTCAACACTGGAAATTGGCTATTGTACTACCATTTCGCAAACCGGGCACCTCGGGGCTTGACACCTCTCACTATCGTCCCATTGCCCTAACCAGCATGGTCTGCAAGGTGATGGAACGATTAATGAATAGATGTCCGACGTGGTTCTTAGAGACAATAGCCTTTCCCCTTGCCAATATGGCTTTCGCAAAGGCCGCTCTACTTTAGACCCCTTGCTCCACTTAGATATGTATATTCAGAATGCTTTTGCTAACATCCACTCTGTCCTAGCAGTCTTTTTTGATCTGGAGAAGGCATATGACACCACTTAGAGGTATAACATTCTAGCCCAAGCCCACTCCTTAGACCTCCGCGGTAATCTGCCAAACTTTGCTGCTTTCTTGTCTGATAGACATTTTTGGGTCCGTATTGGCGCCTCGCTTTCCTTGGACTTCGTACAAGCCAAGGGGGTCCCATGAGGTTGTGTCCTCAGCACTACTCTTTTTCTCTTGGCTATAAATGACCTACCTTTCGTTCTTCCTTTGCATTTTTGGTTGTCACTTTATGCTGATTACTTCGCTATAGCTTACTTGGGCGCTGACTGTCGACTGGTAGCAGCCTCCCATCAGGTTGTAATAGACTGAATCTCCCATTGAACCACTTCTCGTGGCTTTAAATTTTCTAGTACAAAAACCCGATTCATTACTTTCACTAGATGTCCACTTATTCCAGATACTCCCTTGTACTTACGCGGTTCACGTATTCCAGCATGTGATATGGTCAAGTTTCTAGGCCTGCTCTTTGATTGCTGGATGACGTGGAGACCTCACATTTCTTCTTTAAAGACACCTTGCCATAGTGGGCATGGGGAGCAGTCAGCACACACTCCTCCGTTTGCATTCCACCCTGGTCTTGTCAAAGCTAGATTATGGTGACCAAATCTATTCTGCGGCCTCTCCCCCAACTCTAAGTTAGATGCCATTCATTACCAAGGTCTCCATCTGTGCCTTGGTGCCTTTCGTTCATTCCCTGTTGAGAGCCTCTATGCAGAAGTGAATATTCCATTCTTGTCCGATCACCGTGATGCTCATTGCCTTCGCTATTATGTTCAATCTCATGACCTCCAAAGTCCTTTCGTATATAGGATAGTCACTGATGTTAGTAGACATTCTTTATTTGTTCATCGCCCCTGTTTACTCTGTCCCTTTTCTCTCTGCCTCCATTCGCTCTTGTCTTCTCTTCAGTTACCACCTTTCTATGTTCATCTAGCATCTTACTTTTCCCTGCCCCCTTGGGAAGTTCCAGCTGTTCGTGTCTGTTCTTCTCCACTGCCATGTGCGAAAGCCCAACTACCTACAATGGCTTCCCGCTCTTTTTCTTGACCACTTCCCTCTCATTCTAATGCCATCACCGTGTACACCGATGGTTCTAAGTCTTCTGATGGCGTCAGATTCACAGCAGCGTTTCCGCACAGTGTTGTGCGAGAGCATTTTTACGGCTGAATTGTATGCCATTCTTGAAGCACTTATCCGTATTGCATCTATGCCTGTGTCACCATTTGTGGTTGTTTCAGACTCCCTTAGTGCTTTAGAGGCTATAGGAAAATTTGATAAACCTCACCCCCTAATTCTTCGTATCCAACTTTGGTTATGTCGTATCTCTAGCAAACACAAAGATATTGTTTTTT